TCCCCCATCATATATTCTACCCTCAGTTGTAAACCAAGAAGCTTCTTCTATGCTTAGAGTGATGAATACAGAGATTCCTGGATGCTGGAGGTGCTGAAAAAAGAGACAGATGTGTGCTAAGCCATGAAAAAGTCATATAACTCATTCTTCTAATGCTCAGAGAATATTGCAGAAGAGGGGACAGAAAGTTTCTCAGGAGTAGAAAATATTTGGAAAAACTGTGAAATGTCATCTTCTGGGAAAAAACACAGCTATCACAATCACAACCTCTCAGCACCTGGGGATATGTTCACCAGGTCTGCACAAGAATGTATTTGACAACAGTGAATCATGGATGGAGGATGGAATATTCAGGAATTTCTGATTTAGTGCTGAACTACTGATTGATTCTGTGAGAGGGAAAATTGTTACTTTTAGCTGTCTACCCATGATGACACCATCAGGCTTCAGTGAATATTTCCAACCCAGTGTCAACATAGATGGATCTGGGTAACCTAACTGACAAAAGAACAATTTTGTCATCAAACTGGGAAATGGATTGGTAGGGATGCAGGGTGGGTTTTCATTAAGTTTGGGTGGAGACAAGAGAGTATGTGAGGGGAGAAAATCAGAATACATACATACATATATATATGAAGTTTTCAAAAACCTAGTCTGTTGAGAACTGTTGGTAGCAAAAGGTCATGGGAGTATGCAGCAGGTGACAATAAGCATTCAACAGGTCAAAGTATCACAATAAGTGTTCAAAAGGCCAAACTATCAGAACCAAGCGTTCTGGTGGAGAAAACCATCACACAAGGGATTTTGGAATTACTGCATTTTGAATGAATTGGCTGTTTCTTGTAAACTTCTTCTGCTGTCATAGCTATGATATCCATTACCATGCATCTTCATGTAATTTATATATGTAATCTTATGATTATATCTCAACCTTATTGGCACATATATCTGTGGATGGTCAGGAAGATTTCTTTTCATTTATCTGTATAATTGTGATATATAGAAAAAATACTAGGGTATGCTTCATAGCCAGATCCATTGTCCCATGAGACTATAGACACTGTAGCAGGAATCTTAAAAAGTCTTATTAATAAAAACAAACCCAGGGACTAGTATTGGGGTGAATGCTGGAAAATCAGAGAAGCAGGATAAGCCACAGCCACCTCACCTTGCTAATTCCGCAGCTGATCCTGTTACCTCAGACTGGAAACTTCTGAGTCCTCATCCAAATGCTTCTCAGCTGAACTGCTTCTCAAAAGCCTGAAGCTTAACCAGGTATAGTTCCTTGTCCTCACTCCTCAAATACCTTTCTGCCTCCTGCCATTACTTTCTTGGATTAAAGGCATGTGTCACCATGCTTGGCTGTTTCCAGTGTGGCCTTGAACTTACAGATATCCAGGTGGATCTCTGCCTCTGGAATGCTAGGATTAAAGGCGTGTGCTACTACTGCCTAACCTCTATTTTTAATATTGTGGCTGTTCTGTTCTCTGACCCCAGATAAGTTTATTAGAGTGCACAATATTTGGGGGAACACAATACCACCACATTACACGAATATAAGAATAAATAGGCCATGAATCTGAAAAAGAGCAAGGAGGTGATATGGGTGTGTTTGGAGAAAGGAGAGGAAGTGGTAAGATTATGTGGTTATACTATAATTACAAAAAATAAAAAAAAATGATTATATGAAAACCCAACCTAATACTTACACACTATTCAAGATCAACAAGATGGCAAAAATTATCAAAAAATAATAAGAGATTAATATTCAATATGAAAAAACTATATTAATTATTAATTGATTGATTGATTAATTTCCCCTTGGAAATCTTCCCCCCCTCTAGGAGTATCAGCTGTCTTAGGTGGGGAAACTCAAGGTGGGCTGTAAAGAGCATGTTCAGTTGGAGTTGAAATGATAGAAATATTCAGTAGAGACCTTCTGTTTCGATTCCTCTTCATGTGACAATTCAGTGCCGAGAAGTTTGTGGAACAAAACAGGAAAGCTTATAGGATGACAGTCTTCTGATTTGTCTCATGTTATCTACTTGGAATTGATTGCCAATTAAATCTAGGATGTCATCTGGTTTAAACAGATGATCCACAGGCCTTATATCTTTAGAGCTATTATTCACTCATCTATTCATCCTTCTTTGAATAT